CTTACGCCTATTTTTAACAACTTTTTTGCCAAAGTTCGTGTTGACAAGAAAGTGTCTCACCGAATGTATTGCCCGAGTGCTTTCGAAGCATTTCCAGTGACTTTTCTCGGGCAACCATTACCACCAGCATGCTTAGTAGTTTCAGTTTATTTATATTGTCATATATTGTTGATAGTGGTATGCTTGTATGTGCATGTAGCTCGCGAGCATTGCACACTCCCTCGTTCCACAAATATAATAAAGTTTTACGTTGTAATTCTTTCTTGGTAGCAGACATTGTGTAATGATGTATCAAAAAAGTTATGTATGGATGCAATAAAAAAAGAGAGTTTAAATTGGGCATGCTAGACGCGTTTTAGTGACGTATACAAATTTTCCGGGGGTTTTTTGACACACTGTATATTCCATTTCAGGGATATCCAGGAATTGCATGCTGTAAATTTGTATCGGAAACCTTATCCCAGACGGGTTCCACGTCTCTCAAGTACTACAAGCGAGTATCGTACCTGGAACTAATAATCTGGAAGAGCGTATGTAGTTATCATCAGAATTTTCGGAAGACAAGAATTTCATAATCGTGCATTCTTCCGACAAAATAATCCGAAAATTTCGGATATTTGTGTCGTACAAGAATAATTTCTATTTACGGTAACGATGTGACCACTACCTTAATAAAATCCGCTCACATGATAACACTAATACAACGGTATAAAAGTTTTTTTTTTTTTTTTTTTTTTTTTTTTTTAGATCACAACATTTGTTGTGCTACAGTACATCGGACATTATTCACCAAACCGTGAACCGGTTCTGCATCATTTACTCCAATTCTCTTTCTCGACAAAGGTCTTTGACAACTGCAGTTTATATCGCCGAGCATCGCGCAATATCCGCTATTGATATTAAAGTGTTGAATTTCTCAAAGCTCATAAACGGGGCTGCATTCTGATTAATTATATACGACCACGTATTGTTATACTGTTTAGGCAAGGCATAACAGGCGAACCTTTTCGTATTTACAAGTCAACAAATGTGCTGCATGCAGTATTTTTATTTCTCATGACAACAATTATATGTCTTGTTGATAATAATAAAAACAAATCATGGTAAAAGATGGTATTCAGGCTGTGAAGAAAAGAGCCAAGAATCTGTAATTACACGTTTTAATTTTTTAAAAAAAATCTTCCAGTCAACTACACTACCATTCTTTCCTGATTGTAAGTCGCTTCTCGAAATTTGCTTTATTTTATCGTAATTTAAGTTGGAAATAATCTCAGGTTAACTTTAATAGACATGTCATAATTATTTGATTACAAAATATCGATGACAAGTTTGAGTCTGCATTTTTCTCAATAATATTTTTTACCATAGTAAATTTTTGCCTTCATCACACTTCATCACACTTTAACCTGATATGTCAATGAGATATTTTCATTCGCCGTTTACGAGTATCTTCTGCCAAATCAATATTTTGCACTAACCTTCTGTTACCTTTTCTGGAAATTCTATACGACCATTTTTACATACTGTTGTTTTCTTTTTGAAATAATAAATAATGATGTGAATTGAAGTAATAATATTTGTAAACAATAGCCGAAAAGAAACGAATACATTAATGAAGGAACAGCCCGTCATGCAATTTTTATACTAAAAGTCATCGAGCCAACTGCTATTTACTCCAAATAAAAAGTAAAAATCCGCTCTTGTCAAATGTTTTGTTGATTATCGCTAAAATGTCTAAAAGTTTGGCAATAATTTTAGTGATTGCTTTGTACTATAAATATTGTCCAAACATTGGAACGATCATTGTTAAAGTTTATCTTAATTTCCCATAAAAAGTAATCGGCAACTTTCCTTGTCATAATTGTGTCATACTTACTTATTTTTGGACAATCAATTTTTCGCTCCCAGACAGCATATACTGCGTTAAGCCGTACACCTTCCTGGGATGCTATTGATATTCCTTGCTTGAATAGAACAGAAATGCCTTTTTCTGTCGATACCGTCTCGTTCAGGAATATGAACGTTTGGAACAAAAATCTAGAAACTCCCCTAAACCTCAATCGACCACAAATTCGACTTACTAGAAGGAATCAGTTTTTCTGATCATTACGAACATTCTTTTGCCAGAGACTTTACGATGTCAAGGTTTGTTTTAATAGAGGTGGGTGCCATTTTAGAAAGCAAATTGAACACGAAAACAAGTTTTAAGCTGTATTTTATTGTTTACGTTTGTCAAGCCAATACTCGGGGGAGAGCGGAACGAATATTGACCTTGGGATTTAGCCTTTTTCCAACGAGATCCTTGATTATCTCTATTTCGGTTAATCCTCGGTGACCTTTAAATTGGGTTTAAACGCTCACACGATGCTAGGTTCGATTCTTGCGTACGCCTTCTCCGGATTTCTAATTAACCTCGAGTAAATACGTCTATTTCTCTCGGCGGGATTATTTCGAAAGCCTATAGGTTGGGAAACTATTCTAACAGTTGCGCTATCTGAATTAATTAGAAATCTTTATTGTCAAGGGACGATAGTATCGAGGACAAGGTCGATTCTATAAATCACCGATCAAGAAAGCGTTTTCAATGCTTCCATAATATAGATCAGAGAATACAAAAATATAAGGCGGATATTTGATGTACTATATGTATAAAGGAAATATTACAATTATTAGATTCAAGATCGAATCTATTCAACCGAAGACACCGTTTGCTAAGGAAATTACAACTGCTTATATATCTATTTCAAGTTCTGCGCCTACTGCGCTGTTCTATATTATAAAGCTAATAAATACATGAGGATTGAATAAAACGAAACAATTCTGTCCGCATCCGGCGAAATCTGTTTCCTTTTGAGTGTAACTATCAATCACGGAGGAATACGTCATGCTTATCGTAAGTCTTGACACGTTTTAAATCACTGTTCTAGGTATAATAAACAAGTGTATAACTCGGGATACTGATGGCGCTACTAACAAAAAACATTCGCCATTACTTTTGACCGCAACTGTATTAGTATGTACTATTGGTGTGTAGATTGGCTTGTTTACAATTTAAATGAGTTTAATATTGAAAGGCAGGTAAGTTGTTGGTTTATATGCAGGGAGGACTCATGAGGCCATTGATTGCATCTTAAAGATTCCAAAAACCACTGTAACAGATACAATTACTCACCATGGCAATGGATTAAACACCTGAAACTTATCAAAAGCATGCATTAAAGGCCAAGGACAGCCTATTGAGTATTAAATTTACAATTATTAATTTTATCACTTGGTCAGGTCAGATACTTTTTGGAGATAGTGTGTCAAGCCTAGGTCCAGTGGTCCGGTCTGCGAATTCAAGTAGCACAGCGAATATTTGACACCGCATCGGGACAGATTTGGTGTGGTGTCAGTTATACACTAAATAGAAATATAGATGACCCGATATATCGAAATATGGTGTCAAAAGTGTGTTACATAGACGTGTCAAATTTCTACGCAGCTGATCGCTCTCCATTTATCAGTCATAATTTCCCTTACTAAAAAATCCTCAGCATCTTCAGCATGTATTGAGCATATTTGGTTCTATTTGTCCTTAATTAGAATAGCTCTTTGAATTCTAATAAATCTGTAATTAATATAAGTTGTTATTTTCGTTCATTTTATCGAATCGCTGATTGAGGTAAAACGCTTCTCGATCGGCTTAATAAGTCATCAAACTTATCGGCACTTAGGCATCAGGATTATTATTCAATTGTGTTTAACGCGTTACTATTATGGCTTCCCCATCGATAGATTTTCCTAGTGAATCATAATCGAATGTGTGACTCAGAGGTTGAATAATATCCAGAGCAAGCTATACAGATAGTGGTTAAGTCCGTGAGTATTGATAAATCTTATTAAAGTCACTAATTGGATAGCGATTTAGCGATAGTAGGAACACGCCTAAGAGTTCCGCCGCCGGAAGACGACTAAATCTCAAAGTCGCTACACGAACGCTCTCCCACATGTGGCATTAATAAACATAATTTTTTTGGTTGTTCAGATACTTTTGTTTGGGTAGTGTATTAGTATCTCTTTAACATAATAGTGATATGAGAATGGCTTTGGTGAATCTTTAATTGAACAAGAACAGTTCCTATAATATCACTAAGGCTTATTGGACATGCTTATCATTACTGAGTATGAGCCATAGCCCTTCAGTAGTTTCAGATGGTTACTGATGGTTAGCTTTTGATGCCTCGGGAAGATTGTCTGTTTTCCAATGCTTACAGTGTCTTATTATAATAGGATATGAACTTTCTTACATGGCAAATAATAAAGGAAGATAATTGTGATTTTTCAGCCTTGGTATTGGTGTGTAGATAGACAGGAGATAGATATTTTCTTTTTGCATATAGAACATCATAAATTATTGACATCAAACCCCCTTTGTATTTAGTATCTATAGTTTCCTGTCCAAACAAGGGGTAATGATTTCCAAATATCTCCATGCCACAGTTCAAATCTTTCATTACTACATACACCAGGGCCAAAATACATTTTTGATATAAAGTACACAAAATCAAGACCCTTCCTACTGCTTCACACAGAAAGAATGTGAAGGCCTGCTTCTCTAATGTTAAAGTTGATGGTATAGTTTCAAAGAGATTGCTACTGTGTGGGAGTGAATTTGTTAAAGAGAAATATATATTTACTTTTCTGGTAGTTATAGTTTGATGTCAAACTCAAAGGGGCCTGTCAGTAGTGTTGATTGTGAGATTTTTACACACTGAGAGGGGAGGCATGGTGCCAGTTATTGTTAACCACAACTTCCAATTGGGCGTGGATGACTATAACAAAGAGTATGGTTAATAATGTCTTGTACAATTTTATATAATGTATTTGATTGGGATAATAATAATAAATATAAATACAAACTCTTCATCTTTATAGAGTGCATGGGACACCTGGAGTAGAGAGATGAAGATGAGATATAAATTCCCATTTCTCAGGAAAACATTAAAAAGAAGACTTCTTTAATCTTTGGATGTTTCCAATGTCTCGTGTTTTTTTGTAACATCTTGTGGATTAAACAGAGAATGTTTCAAGATGCTTGCAAGGTCTTCATATGCTTCTGTAGCTGTTGTAAATTAAACCTTAAGTATATATTAATACCAAAAATAAGTTGAACTAGATAGAAGGATACTCACATATCATATATTTTGAGATTCACAAAAAAAGCATCATTGAAGTAAAGTTTGGGTAATAAGGCCCATAATCTCGTTCCCACTTTCATCTTCTTCATATTTTGTCAGCGTCATTTTACAAACTCATTTGCGTAGTGCTTGTGTGTGCGTTGTTGAGGCGCTAGTGAAAGACCCAAAATGTCCTCATGTTAGTTAAAATGGTGGTGATGTCGGTGTTCGTTTCGCTTGGGGTAGGGGTGGAGGGAGAGGAGACGGTGGAATTGCCATGGTGCGTAAATACCTGAACGTACGCCAGTTGGTCTTGGCATCATTACCAACAAGGGCATATTCTTAGCTCTCATGCACACTTTGATTCGTATGAACAATTCGGTCTCGGTTGTCTGTGTCAAAGGCATCGCCGCCAGTTTCCTTTGTCGTCTTCTGTTTTGGTATTTTATGCTCGGAAGTTCGTGGTGGAAGGGGGGAGTAATGGCAATACGTAAGATTCTTCCTCGTGATTATCATAATTGGTGTTCCCTGAGTCGCGTGACTTCCAAATTGCTATTTGAATTAAGAGATTTCTCAATGACAGTACAAAAGCAAAAGAAAGCGCTGTCCTTCAGTTTAATCGTACAGAATACGGACTGTATATATACCTTAACTACCTCCGCTACATATTATATGTAGACTCTATACGGAACATGAACAACGAAAAAGGGATGTTTGAATGGAGAGGTAAGGTAGTGCGTGTAAATAAACAATATAACTGGATTCGTGTTCTTGAATGCCAAGATAAAGTCTGTGAATAGAATATTATGAGCTAAAAAGATGCGTGCATCGCGTACGCGCGTGTGAGTGAGTGCTATGTGTGTGTCTCCCAGTTGGGTAGAGTCACTAGAGTTGCTGATGAATGCAAACGTTAACTGTGCCCTCTAAATAAATCTGAGAAAGAACGTGTAAAGATTGTATTTTCCAAGCATTAACAATAAGAGCGTATTCCATTCCAAAATTATTTTACAATACGTATAATCTAAATCACCACTCCTAACCCTAACCCTAACTCTTACCTACTAACCCTAACTCTTACCTACCACGACTTGCCTGATGCTATTACTAATGTTCTCCGTTCCGTGAGTACATTTCATTTCGTTGGCAACTTCTGGTTAGCTCTAGATGTCTAAACGATAATTTGTTAACATTGTAAATACGAATTACAAGAAACGTTTCTCAAAGTCGTATTTTTGCCAAAACATTCGTATGATTTCGAATCTGATAAATCATTATATGCAAAAACACTTCTTCTTTTTTTGAATAAGTGATGCTCTTTTAGCACCATAAAATGGAGAATAGTATCGCCTACTTTTTGTTGATGCTAGGACTTTTAGAACCAAAATTAGATTGTTATAAACTTTTACAAATTGCAATAAATGGCGCGAAAAAAGATACCGATTTTAATCTACCGAGGGCTCTAGTGTAGGATAAAGGGATATCTAAAAGCAATTTGAAAAAAAACCTTTTGCAGTAATATCAGCCGGATAACACGGAGCTTTGTTTGTACCTTCAATACACATTATGACCATAAAAACTTTGCCAACTTAAAATATTAAGCGTTAATAAAGGCGTCTCTGATATGGCCTTTCATGGTAATGGTTCTACTTGCTCAGTACTAAGACTATTTTGTTGAATATCTTGCAGTCTGGCTCCGAATTGGATATCTTATATAAAATCACATTCCAAGTTAACGAATATTTACCTTCAAGAGGCTATGGACGTTCCTTCCATTGTAACATTCCTCAGCCAACGTCGTCGGTTGCGCAAACTGTTGTTATCTCAGACATCAGTTTTGATACCTTATACCTCTCCTTGGTTTAATGCATGGTCATTTGCTTATTGTGTGTCCTGTTACATAACACGCATGCATGTTTTAAAGAGCAAGTTTTTTTATACTAATACGTTCTATATGATTTATAGTTGGTTGTTTTTTTTCTATTGGCGATATGGTGATAAGACAGTCCTGTTACAAAAACCTTTTCGCTATATCGAGACCATTTATTTATGATAGATGGTTTGATATAATTCATCTCAACTACCCGTCATACAGAAAGTCTTTGTTCTAGAAACTTTTTTGTAGCGATTATCGGAACATATAGATAAAAATAGAAGATTTGATCTAATATTAAATAATAGGCTCGACATATTAATTATTAATAGGCGATAACTATAAATATTGATATAAATAAGGCTGTCCAAAATGGGACGGAGACGAATGGGATAGGACAGTAGCTCATAGTCGGGCAAAACGGAAGCGACTATAACAAAGGGTGTTAACCACATATAGGTAAGTACAATACCGATAATTCCCACGCTGTCATTGTTGAAACTATCTTAAATCTGTACTCGTTAGATTAGAGAGATCGGCGGCAGTGATAGTAATATAATTGGCCAGATAGGCGGTTGTGGTCATTGCATTTGCCGGCAGATACCTGACGTATTCCGGCTTTGTGTTTAACGTGTGATGAACTGCACAATAGCAATAATGATGACGATGGTGATGATGATGACGATGGTGATGATGATGACGATGGTGATGATGATGATGATGTATGATGACGTAAAGAGATAATATGCTCTTAATTACTTGATAACTTACTAACCATGCTAGCGTAACAAGGACTTAAAAATGGATGCATGTTAAAGGCATATTATTTTAATCGTACGAGAATCAGTCTAAACTACAAAATAATACCGAAATCATGCTAACTAATTTTTTGAGTCCATTCCTTGTTGTCCCGTTATAGCACACTGTTTCAGGTGAGAATACTTGATGGAAAGATCATAAACGCTTGGTGACACGTGTGGAAAAAAAATTCATAAAGCAGGCTATTGGCGTAAACAAGCCACGAGCAGCATAAATCAGGTTTCATGCATGTATAACCACATTTTAATGTCGCTACTATTATTCGTCATTGTGGAAATCAAAAGCCTTTTTCATACCAACTCTATTTCAAGAAATTATGCCATAGACAGGGGCTAAAAATTAATTATCCAGTGAGATTGATAACTACAATTTGTTTAACACACACTCGACATCGTCTGATACGCCTTTTTTGTTGTGAAACAGTTGGGCTTTTAGTTAGAACGGAATTCGGAATTTAGGTTAGTATTATTACGCCACCACGAAAAAAAAAGCATAGGCTGTTTTGTATAACACAATCTAATTCAGAGATGTTAACCTCACGATGAATAATGTCGCACGCAATATTGTATCTTATAATAACATATTTATGTATAAAACGTTAACAAAAATATTCTACATTTTTACAAATACCCAACCAAAGTACTTTACACCTGTAAGTAATTGGCTAGTTAATTCTTATGTTCATAATGATATTTGATATTTGATATCTAAGCAATTCAACATCTTCCGCTCATTTATGTCCGATTCCAGTCTATTGGCGATTTTATAAATATGATCACGTGAAAATAATGATATACCCAAAGCGATTGTGTGGAGAGACATCCAACACACAGACTTTTTTAATCCCTGCAGTTTATCAGATTAATCAATACATTGTACAGGCAAAGAAAGTTGCATATCATTTGTATACTCACAGTAAAGAGGCATAACTCAGCTTATCACTATGTCACTTAAGTAAAGGTATAGGTCGACGCTATCAATTCCAGTTAATAGTTGACTTGGCCGAGATACCCGTAATGCGCTATCGATTCGGACAAAGAAGAAGAGAAACATACTAGTCATAAGCGTTGCGATAAAGAAGTTTGTGAAGTAAGGCATTTTATCTGTCATTTTTTTATATTGGCTTAAAAAAAGAAGAACCGATGTGGAATGAGTGGGAGGGGGGAAGCTTATATACGGTTAAAAATGAAAAATTAATTTGTTAACTTGTGTTACTATTACAATCACAATGTTAATAATAAACACCATTTCTGTCTCGATGATTCTTTCATACAAGTATACAAGTTAAGAAACTCATTCCCGTCGACAATTACCAAGTTGCGAGTGTTTGAAGTAGCACTGCAGCATTGCCAAATAATTGGCCAATCATTGTAACTATAGCGATACGTCACATGTGATCATTCATATTCCCTTATCTCGTTTGTTTGTGTTGCAAATTCAGTAGATTGGATAAATTTCAGCTACAGAAACCTGGTTAGACGAATGGACAAATAATAACGATTTGTAATTAAGGAAATTTTAACGTACATTGGCAGCCAATAATGTTAAAGTATGGTTGCATTCAGCGCATCAAAAATTTTATGTACAACCGTTAATAAGATTGATTTAAGCTGATCATTCCCTAACTAGAAGGCAATTTACTAAAGCATTATTGTGTTGCTCAACGCCAGGTAAACACAAAGATTATGATGGTTTGACATTCAGCAACTTGTAAGCATTAAGACTCTTGCGCATCTTTAGTTTTTGTATAGTTCTTCCGTAGTGACAACTTAAACTTGTACATAATGAACACGTGCTATCCAAAATAACGTAGATTGTCAGTCAACATTCTACGCATAACTAGCATTTTTAATTACGAGTATTACAATATCTTAAAGTCTTAATTATTAATTCTGTCAATAGCCAAGCTCTTCGTATACGACAAACAACCATTCCATGTCATTAATAAACTATGCGCAGCCAAACGTATAGTTGTACACAGCAATAATATTTTCAAATTATAAGAAAACTGTGTAATTGAACTAATTGCTATATTAATGCGTGCAACTCGTTAACGTTTGGCTTTAATAATTATCGTTCTTGAACATGGCAAATTTTCCGCGTACCAATTATCAATATTGAAAGATAATAACGATTTCTCCCTTCTGTAGAATATAAGTGCTGATGTCTATATTTGCTTAATGTGCAAAGATAAAAAAAAAAGGATACAGCAAGCAGCGGACATGGACCAACGCGCGTCAGGACAGGAAAACACTATGATAGTCAAACATAATCATTTAGAGTAATAAGATCGACCAATGAGTTCATCGAATACCTTCCCGTGTTACATTTTATTTTGTTCTGCGAACTTTACCATAAGATTATTGACGAAGTTTACAAACACAACTTTCTAATTAGGATTACTATTCCAATTTGGAATAGTAATCACTGTTACAGCAAAAGTCAATTATACAAGTCGGTATCGATTTATAACTCTCCGTATCATCGAAAATTCGGGATTGCACTTGTATAACTGCATCTTCCAATTATGCTAATAAATAGCATCATTGGAATTTAGTTACAAAGAATTTGTCGTAATAGTAATCAATGACAAGAAGATTTGCTGTAAATTTCATCAAAGATAATTTATTAATTTCTGCACAAAGAACTTTAACGTAAGTTATTTGTACAGTCTTTGTCTAACAAATACCCTATTGTAGAATCTACTTCTGCACAAAT